TGCACAACTCGATATATATATATATTTGTATATATAAACATTCGTAATTAGATTTTTGCAATAGTAAAAAAGATTTATGCCCCCTCCAAATAATAAGAATTAATTTATGTCCTCTTCTTTGGCGCTGAGATATGATGTTGTTGCATGGCTTTGCTTGTTAGTCCACATCTAGCATTTGGAAGAAACATGGAGAAGAAAAGAGAGAGAGACAACCTTGAGATTACATTTCATCCATACTTGTTTATATTTTATGCAAAATGTTGGAGGTTATGAAAATATGAGTTGTTTTAAATCACATGGATTTCGTGGTCATTATCCTTATAAATAAGGATAACTTTGGATGTTAAATTACAAATGAGAATTTATCAAAATTGGGATTTAACCTTTTATTAAATTTGAAATTCAAAAACCTTATAGAAGATATGATCTCATAGTACAAGCTCGAGGCTTCTTCATATCACGTTCAATTAATCATGTTTCATTTTTTAAAAATTTTTTTTTATTACCCTTTATAGTTCTTTGATGGTAGGAGAAAAATATAGTATAATGTCCTAGAAAACTACCAAGTAAATATGAATCATTATTCATAACAAGAATATTTTCTTAAGATGAATGATAGTGTTAGCATTCTTGGATATATTTGAAAGTAACTCTGAGCTTGAAATATGAGTAATAAAATTCTTTTATTCCATAAAATACTAAATGAAATGGCCATTAATCTCAATGTGGCTAGTTATTTCATGGGCAAATGGATTACAAGTAATATAAATAGTTGTCCAATTGTTAAATATAATCTCGAAGGTTGTGTACTTAACACACCAAATTCTTCCAGAAGTCTTTTGGCCAAATTAAACATCTCACATGTGGATTGTAGTGTAACCATGTATTTGTCTCAGCATTGAACTTATCATCATATTTCCATTTTCCTACTTTTTTTGTGCAACCAAGTTACCTCGAAAGTGAAATTGTCTTAGCATTAAATTGAATATTTACATACGATAAACCGCACGAAAAGGTGTATTGTGGTTATTTAGGTGATATTAAGGATTTGAGAATTATGCATGTAAAGATGAAAAATTTAGAGTTGGATATGCAAATACACAAGAATTGAATGATATGTATGTAAACGTTTTTTTTTTTCCAAAAAACCTATTGTTTTCAACAATACTTAACCCTTTATAGAGCAGATAAGATCTCAAATTTCTTCAAATCCTCTTTTCAGTAAAAGTAGTTTTGTGCAGTTTCAACGGTATTCGAAATATTTATATCTCCAAACTAAAAACTTGCAGTCACATGTTCGAAGACTACCTGGTTGATTAAATGCATTATTGAAACTTGCATAATTACTAGGACCTATTTTCAGATCCCTCTGATCTCACATACGTAGCTTTTACTGTTATTAATTTCCATGTAATATTCCAAAATTCTACTGTATCGTGATGAAGCCTTCTAAAATCAGTAAGCGTGGCAAAGATAAACGTCACATGTAAAGCACTAAAATACAGTGGAAATATAGCTTGTTTATTTACTATAAATATGTTGCATAAAAAATACACTGGAAATTATCATTTAGATAAGGTTAAAAAGTTTGTACTGAAAAGAGAAATCAAGATCATACATTATATTCGAAACAATATGCGGACAAAATGAAAAGATATAGATAAATCGAAGTTTACCTCAGCTTTCCCTGTCAATGAAAACTGGGTTAGCTTCAAGTACATCTGTGAGCATCTTAAAGATAGCCTTTATTTCATCTTGAAATGATTCCTTATTCCAACATGCAGTGACTTTTTCTTCAGAAATATTTGAGAAAATTTGATCATAAAGAAAACTTATTTCTTCATTTGAATTGTATGGAGGGAGGCCTAACTCTGAATGTTTTTCCTGAAGAAGGTTTGCCAGTATTTCCTTGTTCCATGCTCCATTACTGCTGTCTTGCCATGCATGGAAAAGCCTCTCAGTTATATCATCCAGAAGATTCTTATCATTTAAAATCTGTGATTTTCATTTCCGAGAAGGTTTAATTAAATATTGATCACATACTATAAGAAATCATAAAAAGATAGACATCATTTATACGAATAATAAAAAGAAATGTTCAAAAACCTAATGTGTATATTCACATGGACTTAAATAGGGTATTACAATGTTTTACAATTAAACCCCAAGACTTCTTTAATATTTCCTTTTTACCAATATGACCCTAAATAAGGTCCAATTCTGAATCCTCCCCCTCAAGATGGCCAAAAGATATCTACTAAGCCCACCTTGTCACATAACCTAGACAAATCTAATGAACTAAGTCCTTTAATGAGGCAGCCAACCACTTGCTCTCCAGTACCACCATGACTTAGCACCAATAACCCGTTATTTAGCTTTTCCTTGATGAAGAATTTATCAATCTCCACATGTTTGGTTCTATCGTGTTGCACCGGGTTGTTGGCAATGTTAATTGCTGACTTGTTGTCGTACCACAACTTCATTTAAGTTCCTTGGTCCACCTTGAGCTCTACCAACGAGACTCTCAGCCACATCATCTCGACTACTCCTAAGGCCATGACTCAGTACTCTGCCTCTGTTGTTGACCTCACTGCTACTGACTGTTCCTTGCTCTTCCAAGAGAACAAGCTCCCTATGAACATGCAATATCTTGAAGTAGATCTTTTGTCATATGCACAACTCGCCCGATCAACGTCATAAAAACACTCAATTTTTACATGCTCATTCTTCCTCAAGATCAAACCCTTCTCTATTGCACTCTTAAGGTACCTTAAAATCTGATACACTGCATCCATATGACCCTTCCTTGGACATGCATGTAGTGGCTCACACGCTCAGTGCAAAAGAGGCATCAGGTTGAGTGTGACACATAAAGATCACACGACCCACCAATCTCTGGTACCTCTCACGATCAACCGGTTATCCTGCCTCTGCACTCAGCTTAGTCTTCTATTCAATTGAAAAGACTGCAGGATTGCACCCCAACATGCGTGTTTCCATGAGATCTAGTACATACTTTTTTTGGGAAAAGACCACTCCCTCAAGTCCACGGGTCACTTCAATCCCAAGAAAGTATATAAATTGTCCAAAATCCTTCACCTCAAATTCATTTGCCCAATCTTACCTTTAGTTGGAAAATCACTAACTCATCGTCACCAGTGATAATAATACCAACATATACAACAAGTATAATGGTGTGACCTCCATGTTGTAGAAAGAACACCGTAATGTCTGCATTACTTTGTTGATATCTCATGCCTACCATAGCTATTCTAAACATGTCAAATCAAGCTTGAGGAGACAACTTCAAGTCATACAATAATTTCCAGAGCTTACACAAATTGCTCACTGTCTAGACGTACCAAATCCTAGTGATATCACCATATATCCCTTTTATAGTAACTCACCATAAGGAAATGCATTCTTCACATCAAGTTGATGTAATCTCCACCCACCATTCACTGCCAGAAAAATCAATGTCTTCGCTGAGCTTATCTTTGCTACTGGGGCAAATATTTAATCATAATCAATGACATATGTCTGACTGTACCATTTCACCACCAATTGTGTTTTATACTGTTTCACTTTCCCTTCTGGAGTTTGTGAAAATCCACTTGTACCAAACTGACTTTTTTCTCGTTGGTCGTGGCATTATCTCCTATGTTCAATTTTTAACATGAGCTTTAAGCTCTTCATGCAAAACCACTTTCCATTTGGGATCCTCCTTAGCAACCTACCAACACTTTGGGTATAGAGAAAGTGTCTAAAGAAGCAATGAATGCTCCATGTAAATGTGATATGTTAGAATATAAAACAAAGTTAAAAATCTCATGCTCCCACCCAAAATGATTGAAAGATGTCCCGTATTTATGTGTGAGGTCCTCCTTAAAGTTGGGGGGTTAGGAGGAGGAATCATATCACCCGAGAGTACTGAGTCGGAGGTGGATGGTGTAAGTGTTCCAAGGGTTAGGAAAGAATGGGAGAAGAAACTAATTGGCACAAGTGACACTGCAGACACCATTCACTCATTCTCCTTCCATTTCTATGTATACACTCTTAGCTCAACTTTAACCTAAATCCTACCACCTCTATGTTCGCTCTCATTTTTCGGTTCCTTAACTGATTCATCCCACATCATAGGACAATGCATTGCTCCCACATGTGCCACTCTCTCACAATTGCTACTCATCCCCTTATCTAATATCTTCAGTATCTGGCAAGTCACCAAAGGTTGAGGTTACCACTTGGGTGTAGTATGATTTAAATTCTCTAAATGACACATCCATGATCATAAAAAATCTCTTCTCTATCAGGCTACAACAAACATACCTTTTTTGGGTGGCATAACAACCTACGAACACACATTTTATAATTTTGGGATCCAACTTCCCAAACGATGATCTATTATCCTTCACAAAACATACACATCCAAACACCTTCAATGTGAGGATCCCACCATTATCTCCTTTAAACATATGATAACGAGACTTTCAATCCAACACCTCGAGGGAATCCTGTTGATCAATTGAGCAACTATAAAAACTACTTGCTCCCATAAGTGCTTTAGGATATTCGTTGTAATCATGCTTCGGGCTACTTTTAGAAAGTGTCTAATCTTCCTCTCTGCTACTCCATATTGTATTGATGTGTATGAACATGTGGTTTGATGTTGTATCCCTTGGACAGACAAGTATTCTCTAAATGTTTTGTTGATATACTATGTTTGATTATTATACTTCAATACCTTGACTGCCACACAATATTGAGTTTGCATTGCCTTTCGAAAGTCTTTAAAGCAAGAAAACATATTACATTTATTTTTCATCAAATATAATCAAGTAACATGAAAAAAGTAATCAATAAAGATAACAAAATATCGATACTCATTCATATAACTTGTAGAATAAGGTCCCCAAACATCAAAATGTATAAAGCTAAGAATACTAAAATTTCTATTCCCAAAACTAATATAAGAGCTTCTAGCAAGCTTCTCAAACTTGCAAGTATCACAAATAAACTTTTGTTTATTTGTCTTTTCATACAGAAAACGATACAAACCGACTCAATAAACTAAAACAACAGTCTCATGCATCTGTGATGTAGCAACAACACATCCTTCACACTCTTCTCTTTCTAGATTCTCCTACTATATTCTCTATCATGGATGTCAAAGTTGAGTTCATCCCCTCCTAGTCCAAGTATCAAAATTCACTATGCCAAATTTCAGTCCTAAATGTCAGACCGTCTCTTTCTCTTGGAAGATCAACTTAGGAATATCAAAAGAAAAACATATTTTAGTTAGAGAAAAATGATGCCAATCGATAAAACCCTAAACTGAAAAAAAAAAACATGTAAAAATTGGATAAAATCATATAATTGGTACCCTTGAATGTACATTTACCAACTACAAGTTGTGTTATACTATCAACAGTCTAGATACTCTAGAAATTTATAAAAAGAAAACTCTCTAGTTGTACCAAACAATGTCGAGATACACCGGAATCTACTTTCCATTGTGATGACCTTGTGGTGAAAATAGAAGCAAGAGCATGTATATCAAAGTATATTTGTCAGAGTGAGCATAAGTGTCAATATTACATTTTGATAACCCATTGGATGACAATTGGTTGGAAGCATCCTTAGTCCCATCTGTTATTTTCTGTTTTCACTTCAACAACTCCAAACACTAATGTTCCTGATTGGCAAAAACTACACTTGCCTCTCCCTCCTCTGTTACCATTTGCTTGGTAACTCCTTTTCCACCTTTTTGACCACCATGACCTTCACCTTGTCCACATCCACTTCTCTCTCTTCTTAAGTGGCCTAGAACAAGTCTTACTCAGATGCCCAACCTAATCCACATCCACTTCACCTTGTCCACATCCACTACAGTTATAACACTTACGAGTTTCCCCTAGAAACCTATCATACCTGAGCTCGAGGAAGTCAAAGTTGATCGCATGCCCGGAAGTTCACTTAATTCAGAATGCATCTTCATGTGATTCTCCTCCTATATCATCGCAATAATGGTCTCATCCAGTGAAGGGATAGTCGCCTGAGCTAGGAGAACAGATCTCCTCTGATCAAAGGATGGGTTTAGATAGACCATAAATTGCATAATCTTCATCTGTGCAAAAATCTCTCCTTTTTTGGATTCTGAATCACCACAGCTTGACAAAGGTGAGAAGTGAACAAGATCTGGGCACAGCTGCTCTAGCTCTATGGAGTACTCCTGATTAAATTTATTACCCTTATTGGCATCGATTTTTTATGTCACAAATACCATACATCTTTGTGATGTTGTGGAAGTGTGTGACGCTCACGCTTGCCCTCCCATAGCTCAATGAGTCTGTCGGGACGTTATCAAATGCACTACGGCTCAGAATTATGGTTAACCCATCCTGATCCTGCATGATAGTGATTACCGCTTATCCGTGATGATTATCTATTCTAGAGGCAAGCCAAACGATCATTTTAAGGCCTATGTGCTCCGTTCCGGGCATTAAAAGCTTTCTGTGAGCTTAATGGACTCGGGAGTAAAAAATGACTCATAAGGGTCTGGGGTGACCACGCCTAAATCAGGCGTGGCCACGCCTAACCGCTCCCCACCAGGGTTGAGCGGGCTGCCTTCGGCGTAGCCACACCATGAGATGTGTGACCACGCTGTAAGATAGAGCCCACAACATAAGTATGTCATAGGACGACATGGCCACACAGGACCTCCCAACAGTTGAAGGCTGTCTTTGGCGTAGTCAAGCCTAAAGGCGGCGTGGTCACGCCACGAGACAATGAGCCCGACATAATTACGCTAGAGAGTCTGCGTAATGCTTACCTTGCGGGTTGAGTGGCGTGATCATGCCCAAGCCCAACGTGAACACGCCGGCCAACCCAGTTTTTATAAAATTTGGCCTCACGGGCCACCTAGAAGCCGAATTTGCAGGTTATTCTTGGAATTTGGGAGATATCCTTGGGCTTGTAAAAATCTAGGAAATTAA